TTCCATTCTACAGCAGGCCCTCATCGTATCTGTCTCCAACTGGCCCTCATCGTGCCTCTTCACAGCTGGCCGCAACATGCCCATCCAACGACTTCCGGCTTCCAATCCTTTACCTGCAGTTGCAACATGCTCTGTGCTCCCCACCGGTTATATAGCTGACTTGACAGTATCGCCTTCCTTCTAGACGCCGTAACTTGTCCTTCTGTACACCCCTTTGCCCACTAGATATTCTCCACTTATTGTTCTTAGTACATTCTTAACCTTCTCCTCAGTCTTACCGTCTTTTATCGTGTGCATGAGTTATAACATCGTTGACACTTTCGTTCAGTCCTGACTTAGACCGTATTTACCACCGGCATTCGACGTTTCTTAGTGTATACCGGCTCCTCCACAACCTCGACCCCACAGGAGCATCACAACTCTCGTGTTAGCGAAAGTAGCCGGTGGTAAATGCGGTCTAAGTCGGGACTGAACGAACTTGTCAAAGTCGTCATAACGCATACACACGATAGAAGACGGTAAGACGGATGAGAAAGTTAGGCATGAACTAGGAACAATATGGGGAGAATATCTAGGGGAAAAGGGGTGTTCAAGAGGACAAGTTACGGCGTCCAGAAAGAAGGCGATACTGTCAAGTCAGCTATATAACCGGTAGGGAGCACAGAGCATGTTGCAACTGCAGGTAAAGGATTTGAAGCAGGAGTCGTTGGATAAGCATGCTGCAGCCAGCAGTGGGGACGCATGATGAGAGCCAGTTGGAGACAGACACGATGAGGGCCTGTTATATAACGCCTTTTAAAGCTCATTCTGGAGTTGCGGGAAGGATCGGCAGTTGAAAGGAAGGGGCACCGGCTACTTTCACCTACACGAATTACACCATCTCCGTCCCCGATCCGCTCGCGTACAGTGTCACCACGTTCAAACAACCCAATTCACTTTTCTGGTGTGCTACACCTACTGATAGAGAACGTTTTCTGAAGGGTTTAGTAAAGTTACTCCATCCATTTTCGGGGAATCTCCCAATAAATGACGTGGGCGATCCGATTGAATTGAAACCAAACGATGCAGATGTTTTTACAGATCCAGGACTTTTGCGCTGCCGATACACGTGCTTCTGGCCAATTCGTCGCCTTCCTTCTGTCTATCGTCCTGCGGTTCCATGGGCTGCTCTTTTACTATCTTTAACCCTGATCGATCACTTATTCCAGCTGCGCGTTCGACCTTCGCTACAAATTGCTGACAGCGCTGTCTAATAATGGATCCCAAAGATGAGCGTCCTCAATTAGAACCCGTTGCTTCTGAACTTTAGACATCGGACCTATCCATGAGTACGTCGTATATACATCCGAAAACTGAGCACGAACCAAACCTCGCCTGCCCCACTCTTCTACCTCCTAACCCACTTCATACCGGGGACGATTATATCGTATGGACATTCTGTGCCCAAATTTTTCTTCGTGGCGTCCCTCGCAAATACGCCAGCTCTTACCTAATCTCCCTATTGAAAGACTCGGACTTGTGACAGTTGATGAGCACGGGGATATCTCTGGATGCCCCTGTCGCCGAACTGTTCAAAACTCTAAGCGAACTCTTCGATTATGGACAGACACTGACCTTGGCATTAAAAGCGTTTTGGAGTTGGCGGCAACTGGCGACAAAGACGGTCGATGCCTACATTGGAACCCTGCGAGAGCTGGTTCTGAGGGCCTTTCCGGGTATATACCCCGCCTTGCGCGAGGATGATATCCGGAAAAGGTTCATGTTCGGTGTTCGGAATCCAGATTTGTACAGGC